GGGCCCGGGCTGGGGATTCGAACCTGCCACCTTAGGTGTATTGTGGCTGGCGCCTTAGCTGCTTGAGGCACAGGTGCCGAGCTAAGTTCTCAAATTCTTGACCTCAAGTGACCCACATCTACCTGGCAAAATACTGAAATTACAAGCATGGGCCACCTTGCCTGGGACTGGCTGGTTTTGATTGGATTATTCTTGATGTTGTGCTAAGACTGAAAGCAGAAAGATCAGTTGCAAAACCATTGCAGTAATCCAGATGAGGTGATGGCTTGAACCAGGGTGCTAGCGGAAAAGGTGAGATATCTGATGCTGGATATGTCTTGAAGGTAGACCAACAAGATTTCCTGATAGATTTGATGTGGGTATTTCAGTTACCTATTGCTATGTAACAAACTCCCCAAGTTTTGTGGCTTAAAACAGTAAGAACTTTGTTTGCTTATTCTGTGGGTCAAGAATTCAGGCAAGACTCAGTTGAGCGGTTCTGGTCCACATGGCATCGGCTAGGGATACTCACTCACGTATTTCATTGGTGTGCTAGGATGGAAGATCGAAGAAAGCTTTGCTCTCAAGGCAGTCTCAGTCCCCTTCACATGGCCCCTGTTCATGTGGCTTCCTCAGAGGACGGTCCGCTCAGGCCTCTTTCTTGGCAGCTTGCTTTCAAGCCCCATTGTGGAAATACTCATCAAAACACTGTTTCCATCATGCTTTCTTTTGTCCCTTTGGACAAATCTAGTCACAAGTCCTAGCCCAAAGTCCTTGTGGGAGAGGAAACATCAAAGGGAGAGAAAGGAGTCAGTGATTTTTTCCAAGATTAGAAAGGTGGGGTTACTGTTAATTTAAAAAAATGGAGGAGAAGTAAGCTTTTGAGCAAAAAATCAAGGGTTGTATTTTGTGTATGTTAAGTTTGAGCTATCGACCACATAGTCAAATGGATATTTGACATTTAAGAAAGAAATCTGATGTCTCTCTTAACTATGAATTGAGACTTGCCAGTAAATAGCTGGTATTTAAAGCCATGAGATCACCAAGTGAGGGAGTGTGGATAGAGAAAAGGCCCAAGGACTTGTCTCTAGCACACGCCAAAGTGAAGAGGTAGGAGAGAAAACCATGGAGCATTAGTGTCCTGGAAGCCAAGGGAAGAAGCTCGGAGCGATCAGAATTATAATAAGTTTCTGCGAGCCCAAGTAGATGTAGGTGTAGTAATTAACAATCAGATTTAGTAATGTGGAGATGATTGGTGACCACGAACAGTTTGGCAGAGGAGGGTGTGGAGGAGGGGCAGGAAAGGAGGAGTGGGTTGAGAAAGGCAAGAAGTAGCCGGACCTGGGGAACCAAGGTGACACAGCCGTGCCTCAGTGCGATTACAGACTGATAGGACTCTTTTAGCAAATTACACAAATTTACTCCATTCTCCTGTTTTTCACAGAACATCCACTTCAGCCAAGTTGGTCACTGTCTAACTCAAAATACCAACGTCCCCCTCTGGCTAAGTGAGTGACTGCGCTTTACCAATTGCAGCCTTACCCCTCTTTTACCTTCCTATAGCTAAGATTTATTAAGACCATATTAAATAGAGTAGCCCAGCTTTCTGAGAGCACCCAATCCAGAACGAGTCCCCACTTCCCTAGTAGTCCCTCCCCCAAGTTACCCAACAAAAGCCCAAATCCCACAAATGGGTTATTTTTAACTCTCTCCTACTGAAGCACCTCCACAGTTCTCCCTCACTATAAGGAACCAGATGTTCCACTCCAAGGGTGGTTTGGGTTCGTTTTGGTTGTTGGTCTTTGTCTGAAAGGCCTCGCTAGGTTTAGAGATGGGAGCAGAGGAATGAAAGCGTAGACAGCAGCGGGTAACCTGCTCCAAAGGGCAACGGAGAAATCCGAGGAGCCTGCAGGGAAAGTGAGTCAAAGTTTTTGTCTCGTTTTAAGATAAATAACAGTATGTTTGTATGTCAAAGGGAACAATGAAGAAGAGGGAACCGTTGAGGGTTTAGTGGAGAAGGGGCTGGCGGCAGCAGGCGAGGGCACAGGGCCTCCGGCGCGGGCAGGAGGCCGCTCGGGCCGCAGCAGCGCCGACCGCCCGCCCGGCGCCCGCCCGGCGCCCGCCCCGCGCGCGGCTTCCCGGCTGCGCCGAGCTCCGGGCTGCGTCCCCGCCGCAACCCCGACCGCCCGGCCTCGTCTGCGTAACTCCGCTCCTTTGTACGTGTTTACGCCCATCCAATTAGGCACCGCGACCGATTCCCGAGAACAATGGAGGAAAACTCCATGTATGCACCGGCTGTAGAAATCTGACTGTAGAGAGAAGCATTTTTCACTGTGTAATCTTCAGGATAATTTCTCCCCCACCCCCGGCCAGGAGAGGCCGTGTATTCAGAGAAGAAAAAGGGGGAAACGCACACGCACAGGCAGCTGGGGTGAAGGGCTCACTTTCTGTTAGAACCCTACTTAGTGTAAGTGTTTTCTTCGGTCTTCAGGCGTCTGCAACTACTTTTACATCGGATCTCTTAAATTTTAGAAAAGCAGCCAAAGTTGGGGCTCATAATATTGTTAGGATAAAAGTCACAACTGCCCTGTACCAGCAACTGAGTAAGTGACACAGAACACCAGGGCTACACAGTGGCCACCGCGACTCTCCTCCGCGCCGGGGACGTGCGCTTTCAAGAGCAGAAGCAGTTTGCGATCTATTTGAAAACTTTTCCCAGAGTTCTAGTTAATATTGAAAACGCTTATATTAATTTCCTGTTAGAACCCTACTTAGTTTAAGGGCTTTAACGAAGCCATAAAAATTTAGCATAAAATAGGATTTCCGACAAAAATTACAGGCCGCCCAACGTGGGGCTCGAACCCACGACCCTGGGATTAAGAGTCCCATGCTCTACCGACTGAGCTAGCCGGGCGCTCGTGACAACGCCTTCGTTTTCTGTCTTTTGATGAGTACTCAACTACATTTGCTTGCGTCTCCGCGTACTATTTTGTTTCTAAATAAAAATTTGTAATATACTACCAAATCAGCACTTCAGAATTATTTTGAGAACATTTTAAAACATTTAGTTGAACTTATATTTAATAATTTGTATTTTGTATGTATTAGAAGATGATGGATAGCGTATGCAAGTTTTTCTCCTTACAGTCACTTAGTCATTTTTATAAAGTGGTTTAAAGTATTTACTGCCCAATATGTTATCTGCTTTACATAAACACGTATCAAGGCTATCTAACTTCCACCAAATGGCATATTGGATTCCTACATATTTGGGTTCCACATTATACATATAGAAAGTTAAATCGACAACAATGTATTTCGATTTAATTAAAATAAGGTCTCTTTCGAGTCAATGTCCGATAATGACATAGGATGCTAACAGGTCGCTATTATTCTGCTCAAATGATAGAAGCCAGGGGGAAAGAATCATAGTATATGAAACTAATGATACCGAATGTTAATTCTAAGAGGCAAAGAGAAGAACCTTATTTTGATCAAATTATGATAGGAGATGATGGAATTATCTCCTACGGAAATATATACAGGATATTCTGAGATACTAGTGAACTTTTCAAGATAAAGAATTCTGCAAATTTCTGTAGTAGTAGATTAGATAAAGGATGTTTATCTTACTGCTCAGAAGTACAAGTTAAAGCATAATTGTAAAGATGAAAATAACAAACAATTCTTAGTCTACTATCCCTAAAACATAGTATTTGGAAATTAAATACATTTGAGTTAAATACACATTTGCTAAAGTAGTCAAATAAAAAATATGTCATAAAATATGTTTGGATTCCTCAAAGTACACGTAGCAGTTAAGTATTTGGAATTTCAAAGCTTAAAATTTTACTACAATTACTAACAATTTTTGTTTGCAATTACAAACTGGTTTATTTATGATTATTTTGTAACTTGGCAGAATGTAACTGGGAAGTGAATTTGATTTTGTTTCATATTCAACACATTAAATACCTGCTGAGTGCAAAGCACTGTGTTGGGTATTCTAATAGGATAAAACAGTCTGATATCTCCGAAAGGCTTATCACTTTGTAAAAAAGACGTGTAAATTACATACCACATTTACATGTACTACTTCCAAAATTGCGGTAAGTAGATTGAAACAAGCAAACAAATCCATACCCACGCCATCTAAGTCTCGTCATGAATCAAGCAAATAATTAATTAAGAACCCGAAGCTACAATTTAATGAAAATTCCACAAGCAATGGGGGTATGCCTAGTTCACCTTTGTTACCTGCACGTTAAATGAAGTATGTGGAATGTCAGTGCTCAATGTATCCCCCCTAATCAGGATTATCCTTAAGTCTACCAAAAGGCTCTACTTATAGAGGGAGCATTAATACTTTTGTACAATTCCAAGCTAAGCTCGACGATGATACCCTTAAAGTGCAAAGCCCTTCGCGAGAACCTGAGGACAGGAAGGTGAAACGGATGCAACCAAGTTACTGGTCAAAACGAGGACGCCAAGGACGAGAGGATCCTGCTCCCCTCCTGCTTTCTCTGCTCCTTGTAAGAGTATATGAACATGTCTCCTTTTTGTTTCATACAAGAACAAAGTAACGAGAGAGAGGAATAATATAAAAGATAAACAATAACTCCTGGATAAAGAACTCGGGGAGCCCCTCAAACTCGACCACTAGAGAAGGAAGAACCATCACTTTCTCCCGGACCCGCCCCTAGTGCTTCTGCGCACGCGCGCTGCCCGCCGCTCGGACCCCCGCCTTTTACCACAATGCTTTTCGTCCAGAGGGCTGGAGCCGGAGGAACCAGCCGCAGAGACACACGCGATTGGCCGCGGCGCAGCCAGTGAGCGGGCCTGTTGCTGCCCTGCGCCACGCTGAAGGGTAGGGGAAGCGTCTTGGGCCTGGAGACCCTGAGTATTCCGTCGGTTTTACCACAATGAGCTCCATCGGCACCGGGGTGAGTTTGGTGTGATAGTCTAACCTAAAGAGTGGCGTTGAAGGAACTCGGGCAGCCTGAATGGGGTGCGCCGGGACCACCTTCGGTCCGGCAGGCCTCTTCCTGCTGCCCAGAGACCCGTCGCCTCGTACCCATTGTTGGACTAGGCCCGCGCCTGCCTGAACGGCGACTCCTGAAGCTTTTCAGCGCAGGTGCAGCCGGCAGGTGCAGCCAGCTTGGCGGCGCGGTTGTGAGATTTGGAGCAGCTTTGGTTGCTGAGTCACTTTTTTTTTTTTTTTTTTTTGGAGGGGGGAAGACAGTCTCGCTCTGTCGCCCTGGCTGGAGTCCAGTGGCGTCATCGTAGCCTACTGCAGCCTTAACTCCTGTGCTGCAGCGATCCTCCCGAGTAGCTGGGACTACAGGCGCGCGCCACACACGCCTGGTTTTTCTCTTTTTAGTAGCGACGGGGGTCTCGCTCTTGCTCAAGTTGGTCTCGAACTGCGGAGCTCAAGGGATCCTTCCACTTCGGCCTTCCAGATGGCGAGGGTGACCGGCGGGCGTCCCTGCGCGTGCTGAGTCATTTTCCTTAGCCACTTAGGGAAACCGAAAGTGGAAACTAGCGAGCCTGAAAGTATGAAGAGTTTGGGCAACAGTTCTCTGTAGAGCCGTTCAGGCGGTGAAGCTTGGGATCCCGTGGTCTGAGGCCGGTGCTTTCTGTGGACCAACAGCGCCTCGAGTGCGGCTCATCATGGACTTTCTCTGTCCTTCCGCGGAGTGTACTGATCTACCGCTACCGCTCAGTAGCAGTCACTGGAAACCCACTGGGACCTGGCTCGCACCTGAGATCCCAGCACTGTGGGAGGCCGTGTAAGAAGATCCCTTGAGCTTAGGAATTCGAGACCAGCCTGAGCAAGAGCAAGACCTCCGTTTCTAAAAAACAGAAAAACTAACCCGGCATGGTGGCTGGCTACTCGGGAGGCTGAGGCAGGAGGATCTCTTGAGCCCAGAAGTCTGAGGTTGCTGTAAGCTAGGTTGATGCCACGGCACTCTAGCCTGGGCAACAGAGCAAAACTTTTTTAAAAAAGTGTTTTGAAAAGCTAATCTGATGAATGCTTTCAGTTTTCCTTTGTCTTAGCTCCTCAACAGCACTTTTAGGCATTCAGACTTTGGGTAGGAACTTAACAGCTTCAGACTCCTAAACCACTATTGAGGACTTGGCGGTTGGACTTGTTAACTTGTTTGGCTTTCTACTTTCCTTTGTTAAATGTGTATGTGCAGCCTTCTGTTTATTCCTTTTATGTAATTCTCCATCTAGAAAATAAAAGGTTTTTTAAAAATGTGTTGGTTATTTGCACAAGAGTTTTTGAATAATGGGGGTTCTCGGTTTAATCCTGCTTATTCCCAAGATTCTGATATTCAGCATTAAACCCCAATACCCATGTTCTGAGTTTGATAATAGGAAACTTAGTCTGGGATGGTTTAATCCATTTGTTTCATTTATGAAATACTAAAGTTATGCTAAGGGGCCAAAACTAAAGCAATAACAATAAGAAAAAGATGCAAACGATATTAAAAAAATAAACAAATACTAAATTTATGTCATACTTTTTTTGGATAAATAAATGCTTAAACTCATAGCAAATGGACTTTGCAACTACATTAATATTAATTCCAATTAATAGTATTTCATTCTACAAACCTTTAAAACATACTTGAAAATGTAACTATATATATATATATATATATATAGTTTGTTTGTTTTGAGACAGAATCTCCCTTTGTTGCCCCCAGTAGAGTATCATGGTGTCATAGCTCACAGGAACCTCTAACTCTTGGGCTCAAGCAATTCTCTTGCCTCAGCCTCTGGAGTAGCTGGGACTACAGGCTCCCACCACAACCTTGACTATTTTTAGAGATGGGGTCTTACTCTAACTCAGGCTGGACTTGAACTTGTGAGTCAGGTGATCTCCCACCCCCACCTTGGCCAGAGTGTCAGGATTACTGGCGTGAGCCACCACACTGGCTTCCTTGTGAGATATTTTAGTATTATAGAGGTGGAGTTTTTCCTTTTTACCTTTTTAACCCTGAGAAGCCAGTCTTTGCTGCAGGGAGCCTCCAGGTTCAAGAGCCTCATGGTACAGCATACTTTAACTGCCTGCCCCTTCTGTGAATATTGAGCAATGCCTTATGTTTGGGTGCTACTAAATTCTTCTCTAAAGGTTTTGACCAGGTATGGTGGTTTATGCCTGTAATCTCAGCACATTGGGAGGCCATAGTGGGAGTATCACTCAAGGCCAAGAGTGGGAAACCAGCCTGAGCCAAGTGGCAAGACTCTGTCTTTACAAAACATAAATATTTAGCCGGGCACAGTGGCATATGCCCGTAAGTCCTAGTGGCTCTTCTGGAAAGGCTGAGGAGGAAGGATGCAGTGTGGCCCTTAGTTGGTCCAATGAAGTTTGACCCTTAGCTACCTTGCTAAGATTATCTACTTTTCTCACCACCACTTACCATACTCAAGACACAGTGACCTTATTTTTGTTCCTTGACTGTACTAGGTTTATTTCTACCCTGATGTCTTTGTGCCAAATGTCAGAAAAGGTCTTTTTCCATATCCTAAATGCCTTGCTTCTTGTCATTTAAGTTTGATTGAGCCTAACTATGATGACCATAGCAAGGCCTCCCCTGATGATGCTGTCTGTAGTAGTTCCTTTTATCACTTTACCATTTTATTTCCCTCTTTGTGCCTTTCCTTCTCAAGCACCTAGATTCAGTTCTGGTCTGATTTGAAATGAAGGCCTTGATGAATAAGTGGGTATGTCTGTATTCTCGTATTGTGACTTACTTATATAAAATAGATTATAATACATACTCATTCAATGTTTGGTGAATTCCGAATGATTTGTCCAAGGTCCTTCAGTTTGTTCGTGGCACAGCTATAGCTACAAATTTAAAAGTTCTGACTCCAGTGTTAATTTTCTTTTTCAAGAAATGAGTTTTGTGGCTTGGTGCCCATAGCATAGTAGTAATGGTGCCAGCCACATACACTAAAGTTGGTGTTCAAACCCAGCCTGGACCAGCTAAAACAACAGTGACAACTGCAACAAAATGTAGCTGGGTGTTGTGGCGGGCACCTGTAGTCCCAGCTACTTGGGAGGCTGAGGCAAGAGCATTGTTTAAGCCCAAGAGTTTGAGGTTGCTGTAAGCTGTGACACCACAGCACTCTATTTAGGGTGACACAGTGAAACTTTGTCTCAAAAAAAAAAGAAGAGTTTTGTGTTCTTTGTGAAGTGTTTTGACTTCATCTAGGGCTTGTATTGATTACTCTTCAACTGCAGTGTTTCTGCTGTGATATGCTCCCCTTCCTCTCTTAAAAGTAGTCTTTCTTGGGATATAACACATTGCTAATGTCTATGTCAGTTAGAGGATATGGCTGCTACTGCCAAAAATACATTATTATAAGTGTATCATTGCCTTTTCCCCCCTAGTATGACCTGTCTGCCTCTACATTCTCTCCTGATGGAAGAGTTTTTCAAGTTGAATATGCCATGAAGGCTGTGGAAAATAGTAGGTAAGAACTATTGTTTTACTTGATTGTTTTGACCAGGTAGTAAATATATCAGTTTTGATATTTCTGATAATTGGGCTTTGTTATGTTACTTTGGTACAAATTAGTATATGCCTCCAAATAATCTCAATTTCCTCATTTCCAGATCTCATCTAGGCCAAATGATTTCCATGAGCTCTGGCCCTATAATTCTAGTCAATTCCAGGATTTTCCACTTAAATACGTGACTGATGTATTTCTCATATATCTTGTGGGCTCTCATCATTCATTCCAGCCTGGGTGACAAGAGTGAGCCTGTCTCTAAAATAAAAAATTAAAAGAGTAAAAGGACTCTTAGAGCAAAAAAAAAGCTGCAGAGATTTGGGGAAGTCTGTTTTTTTTTGAAACAGAATTTTGCTCTGTCAGCCAGGATAGAGTGCAGTGTCATCATCATAGCTCACTATAATCTCAAACTCCTGGGTCCAAACAATCCTCCTGCTTTGGCCTCCCAAGTACCTGAGACTACAGGGATACATCACAATGCCCAGCTATTTTTTCTCATTTTGGGAGGCAGAGAAGGGATCTTGCTCTTGCTAAGGCTGGTTTTGGCTCCCTCAGTGCTAGGATTACAGACATGAGTCACCATGCTTAGCCCTAAAGAATTTTTTTTTTTTTTTTTTTTGAAACAGAGCCTCAAGCACAGTGTCCCCCAGGGTAGAGTGCCGTGGTGTCATGGCTCACAGCAACCTCCAACTCCTGG